TTAATTCTGAATCTCTGCTTCTCTGTGTACAAGTCAGATGTCTAATGGTATTTAACTTGATTTTCAGGGAGAGGATTTAATTTCTTTGTTTATAGCACTATGATTCCTCAAAAAGGAGGAAGGGAGGGATACACTACATTATAGACATCAACCGCCTGCTATTTGTATAGGTAGTAATGACATAATTTGGTAATTAAAAAGTTAGAGCTAGATTCTTATCCCAAGTTACACCAATGTAAATCTAGGCTAACTCCACTGACTTCAATGGAGTTACGCTGGATTTGCACTGATCTGCTTAATATCAGAATTTGTCCCGTGTTCTTTATCGTATTTTAATATCCTCTTTAAGAGCCTGATTCTTCTCTCATTTACACTGGGATAAATCAGGAGCATCTCCAGTGTACTCATTGGACTAGATCCTCAGCTGCTGTAAATCAGATCCATTGACTTCTGTGTTACACCACTGTAAATCCAGATTAAACCCACTGCAGTCAGTGGGCGTACATCAGCTGGCCCCGGGGAGCTAGATCAGTGTAAAACCAGCACATATGGAAGGAGAATCAGGCCCATTGAGCCAAAGTCTGCCTTCACCTTTGTAAATCCATTGAAGTCAACGGATGTCCTGTAGATTTACACCTGTGTAAATGGGAGCAGACTTTGGGCACTAATTCTATCATGTAAACACGGTTTTGCACACTTTTTTTATTTTCTAAACATTTGTTATGTGCTCCCTGGACTGGGAGTGGGGCCTGGACAGTCACTCATACACATAAATATTTACAATTTTTTAAAAACACCTATTTACCTGATTTTTGGAGCCATTTCTGTTTTTAAAGTGTATTTTGGGGCCCTGCAGCCCTTCTTTCACACACTTCTTCTTAGAAGATACCATATCTGCCCATAGTACAGCACTGTTATAGCATCAGTGGGCAAGTCCTGTGTTCCTTCAGTTGTGCCATCCATTTTTAAGCAGAACTCCCTGTTGAAGGCAATAGGGAGTTCTACTTGAAATTCAGTTGTATGTTACGGCCCTGACGAAGGAGCGCAGGGTTTGATCCATTATGAATACATGCATTTACAGTTCTTATAAGGAAGTAGCGTGCTAGACTCTGATCTCAGTTTCATTCATATCATTCCATTTGCTTCAGTGGAGTCACTTCAGATATATGCTGGTACCCCTAAGATCACTGTGTCTAGCTCTGAAGACTTGGAGTCAGGAATCTTGGTGCTATTCCTGATCTCCAGTTGACTTACTGCATAACTGTGGGTGAATAATTTTATTTCTCAGTGCCTCAGCTTTGCCATCTGTAAAATGGGATAAAACAATAGTTACTTGCCACATAGGAGTTTTGTGAGACATGTAAAGTGTAAAGTGCACTGACGTCCTAGAGGGAGAGTGTGGTGAGCTCGATAGAACATACTTCGTGTGAAGTGGCTGGCCTTCAGATGACAACTTCCCCTGCTCCAATGATCATCTGTGTTCCAGATAGAGCCCTATGAGGAATCCATGTCATACCACCTCTCTTCCTCCTTCCTGAGGCCCCCCTGTGTCACAGCCACCATCTTTCTGGCTGAGTATTCCAACCAGATTACCACTCCCTTCTGACCCAAGGGATTGCTGGTGAGCAAATGATGCATTCCTCTCTGAGAAGAGCATGGTGTCACCACAGCTACTCCAGTCACAGCCAACTCAGTGTGCGAGGGACTGAGATAGGAAATCAAACCCAGAGGGCCAAATCCTTAGCTGATGTAAATGAGCATAGCTTCACTGAAGTCAATGGGGCCACACCCATTTACACAAGCTGAAGGTTTGGCCCGGATCTCCACCATGGTATTTGCAGGGCCAGTCTCTATTTTTGTAAATAGACTGAATATATTGACAAGGATCTGTTTCATACTATGTACTCATTGGGTTTTGAGAGTACTCCTACTAAATAATAAAATAAAAGTTGATTGTAAACATACAATACATTTTCTCCTCCCACCCACTTGAAAAACTCTCCTCCAATCTCTATGAATAAAAACCAGCAAAAAGAAGATTTTCGTTAAGTTACTGTTGAACTAAAGTCTTGCAAACCAAGTTTCAGTTTGAGCGGTGGTTTGCAATCAAGAGAAACTGGAAACAGGATTTTGTAAAGGCAATTTGGATATACCATTCATTATATCAGTACTGAAAAAGCTTTAGAAAGGTAACTTATAAAGGACAAAACAAATCGGGATTGTATTCTTTTGTTTCTTTCTGATGTATAAAGAATTCTAGAAAGGATTAAAAAAAATTGTTTCTGCTTGTTTATTAAAAGTATCAGGAATGTCTGTCTGATCTTCCCTGATTTTGCTAGATGGCTCACTGGAGATCTCAAATTTGCATTATGGGCTTTCTCACTCCTTAATTGTAAAGGTGTGGCAGACTGGAAGGCAGGGGGGAAAGAGATATGATTAATTTTAACAAAGACTTCTTTTCTCCACGTTTGAGTTAAATATGTGTTAGTAGGGCTGTCGATTAATCGCAGTTAACTCACGCAATTAACTCAAAAAAATTAATCACGATTAAAAAAATTAATTGCAATTACTCACACTGTTAAACAATAGAATACCAATTGAAATGTATTAAATATTTTGGATGTTTTTCTACATTCTCAATTATATCAATTTCAGTTACAACACAGAATACAAAGTGATCAGTGCTCACTTTATATTATTTTTTATTACAAATATTTGCACCGTGAAAATTATAAACAAAAGAAATAGTATTTTTCAATTCACCTCATACAAGTACTGTAGTGCAATCTCTTTATCATGAAAGTGCAACTTACAAATGTAGTTTTTTTGTTACATAACTGCACTCAAAAACAAAACAATGTAAAACTTCAGAGCCTACAAGTCCAATCAGTCCTACTTCTTCTTCAGCCAATCGCTAAGAGAAACAAGCTTGTTTACATTTACAGGAGATAATGCTGCCCACTTCTTAATTACAATGTCACCTGAAAGTGAGAACAGGCATTCTCACGGCACTGTTGTAGCTGGTGTTGCAAGATATTTACGTGCCAGATGCACTAAAGATTCATATGCCTCTTCATGCTTTAGTCATCATTCCAGAGGACATGCTTCCATGCTGATGAGCCTTGTTCAAAAAATACTGTGTTAATTAAATTTGTGGCTGAACTCCTTGGGGGAGAATTGTATGTCTCCTACTGTGTTTTACACGCATTCTGCCATATATTTCATGTTATAGCAGTCTCGGATGATGACCCAGCACATGTTGTTAATTTGAAGAACACTTTCACTGCAGATTTCACAAAACACAAAGAAGGTATCAATGTGAGATTTCTAAATATAGCTATAGCACTCGACCCCAGGTTTAAGAATCTGAAGTGCCTTCCAAAATCTGAGAGGGATCAAGTGTGGAACATGCTTTCAGATGTCTTAAAAAAACAACACTCTGATGCGGAAACTACAGAACCCAAACCACCAAAAAAGAAAATCAACCTTTTGCTGGTGGCATTTGACTCAGATGATGAAAATGAACATGCATCAGTCCGCACTGCTTTGGCTCGTTATTGAGCAGAACTCGTCATCAACATGGATGCATGTCCTCTGGAATGGTGGTTGAAGCATGAAGGGACATATGAATCTTTAGCGCATCTGGCATGTAAATATCTTGCGACACCAGCTACAACAGTGCCATGCAAATGCCTGTTCTCACTTTCGGGTGACATTGTAAACAAGAAGCAGGCAGCATTATCTTTCGCAAATGTAAACAAACTTGTTTATCTGAGCGATTGGCTGAACAAGAAGTAGGACTGATTGGATTTGAAGGCGCTAAAGTTTTACATTGTTTTATTTTTGAATGCAGTTGTTTTTTGTACATAATTCTACAAAATTAAGTTCAACTTTCACGATAAAGAGATTGCACTACAGTACTTGTGTTAGGTGAATTGAAAAATACTATTTCTTTTGTTTTTTACAGTGCAAATATTTGTAATAAAAATAAATATAAAGTGAGCACTGTACACTTCGTATTCTGGGTTGTAATTAAATCAGTATGTTTGAAAATGTAGAAAACATCCAAAAATATTTAAAGAAATGGTATTTTATTATTGTTTAGCAGCACGATTAATCACGATTAATCGCAATTAATATTTTTGACAGCCCTATGTGTTAAATGAAACAAGCACAAATAGTCTTCACTAAAAACCTCTTCTCTCTCAACTGCTTAGGTTTCAGTTCCCTTTGATTTCATATTCCAACTAGTTATCCAGTTATACATAGAATTCCAGGGTAGACGAGACCTGAATTGTTAATGTAAAAAAACAAGCAGAAATTTCCCATTCCCTCTTTTTTTAAAAAGGAGGGAAGAAAGAACCATCTAGGCCTTCTTTTTCCATCATAAGTGGGTTTGGAAGATAGATCTTTATTGGTAAATGTTGGCAAATGTTGATTTCACTCCCCGAAAAATATTTCCATTGCTAATAATCAAAATTTACAAATATGTATAGTAAGAAAAATGCTGCTTGCGAACTTTGATTTAAGGATATTTATTTTGTATATTTGACCTGTGATGTTGACAATTTGTGTTTTAACGGTTATGAAGCTTGAACTTTGAATGTCTGTTGTCATTAAATAATTGTGTAAATTCCTCTCCCAAATAATTTCCTACAACTGAAAATTTAAATAAATAGAAATTGGAAAAAAATGAATAAAACCCATAATTATGCACAATTGAAAATTTAACTGGATAAAAATAGAAGTGTTTAAAATACTGTTGAAATTATAAAAAAATAAAAATTGAATTCTGCCAAGCCTAATCACAAGGAAGGAAAAAAGGGCACAAATACAATTTCTTTTTCTTTTGCAGGTCACCTTTAAGCCTCATCTATCTGCATCTAGCTTCTCTGGCTCAGTCAGAGCAGAAAGGACTTCAGTATTTCTGGCTGGTAGTCTCTGTGTCTTACAGCTTTGCTGGTCTGTGCTTGGAATAATTCTTGGGTCCGTTTCTGCAGATTTTAACTTCGCCATGTATCCACCATCAATGATAGCAACTGGAAGCGTGGGAGCAGCCATCTGTGGCCTTCAGCTTGATGATGGAGAAAGTTCACTCTCCGGTGACAGCCTAACAGAACTCCTGGCCAAGATCACAAACACAGATGTGGTAAGTGACCTGAAAACATTGTTGTTTCTTTGCTGAGAAAGCTGTGGAAAATATGATCAACATAATTTGCTTGATCCTGCTAGCCCATGGGAGTTCATGGGCAGAGGGCTTGCAGGACTGAGCTCATAGACACCGTTACAAAGCTTTGGAATCGGCCCAAAACTCTCAGGGTCTGTGTACACTGCAGTTAAAAACCCTCAGCTGGCCCATGCCAGCTTACTCGGGCTAAGGGGCTGTTTAATTGTGGTGTTAGGGGTTAGGGTCCCAGAGCTTAGGCTGCAGACCAAGCCCGAACATCTACATTGCAATTAAATGGCCCCTTAGCCCGATCCTGAGTCATTTGGCATGGGCCAGCCAGAGGTGTCTAACTGCAGTGTACACATACCCTAAGTCACACTCTACCTGGCTTTTCTGTGAATGCACCAGGGCTGTGTTTGTTGGAGAGAGGAAGTGGGTGCAACAAGTGAGCATCTGGCAGTCCCTGCTAGTGTCTTTTGGAATGCATTACCCCAAAGGGAGTAGGGAGAAGGCCTTGGACACGCCCCCCATCAACAGTGGCCAGCAGAGCAGGCCTGTCACAGAGGGGAGTGCACCCTACATCCTTATGAGGGGTGATGAAGTGAGCAGACAGAAGGCATTGGGTTTCCCTGAGATCCCTCTGGGAATGAAGTTTTCCATCTTCGACACTAGGGACCAATGCAAGACTGGTCAAATCTGGGCCTGTATTTGCCGTCCTTGGATGGTGCATCTGTTATTTTGACCCTTCATTGATGCACCTTTTTTAAAGGTCCTTGATTTAAAGTCTTCATGCACTGTGTACAGTATATCCAGATAAAGAAATCAATTCTGTTTTTATTCCATTTACTATACATTCATTGAGGACACTTCTTAGGTTATGAGAAAGTCTTCTCAGAAATAACAGACTGGAATCTGGCAGTTTTTTGATGGTCTATGTGAAATGAATTTGGTGGTATCAGGTCAGTTTCCAAAACCCGACACTCTTGTTGGCAGTCTCAGCAGAGAGTTCAAACAATGTGAAAGGATCACTGAGAATGACCTACCCTGTTGCCCCTAGAGGTGGGTCTCACAAGTTCTTGGTTGAGCTATGCTGGGGGGAGCTTCATTGCTGCTGTCCAATGTGCACCCAGTCTGTGGATAAACGTGGGACTTTCACCTCTAGGATTGTTAATCGAGCGTGTTTCACCAGCACTCAAATGACAAGAAAATGGGTGCTGGCTTCTGACAAGATGATGCTCTTCTACCATAAGCCCATCTGTTTACTGCATGCCATCCTAACGTATTAACTATAAATTGTTGTATTTCTTTTATCTTGCAAAAATAATATTCTGTGCATTTATTATATTTTTGGATGCATTATTGTCTAAGCCCTGCTATTTTTTCACCAGCAAATCGAAGTCTTTGCATTTCATTTCTGATTTCCAAGAATGATCCAGTTTTGCAAAAAAAAACCTGGCAGAATTTTTTTACATTTCCCCCCGCATCTCATTGTTTTTAATGTGACATTTTGAATTTCTTGTAGTTGGAAACCACTTTGCACAGAAAAGAGGCAACATTTTGAATTTCACATGCTTTTAATGTGAAAGTGAACATGGTCGTGGAAATTCACACACAATTACTGGGTCTAGTAATGGAATGAAATGAAATTTTTTACACAAAGTATTTGTTGTTTTTTGTACATCTCTTCTATAGACACGTGTAGGGCAAGAGACTGTGTGAGTGCTATATAGCAGTATGCAGTAGGATAATGCAGTAAGAGAAATCACATATCTTATTTAGGCTGCATGGCCTGGTAAAAGTGGAAATTAATTATCATATAGTGCTCCTTTAGCAATGGGGGACACACATAACCCTTATCATTTGGTGGAGGGGCAATGGGGGGCACACAGCGCTCTTGGCATGGGGGTGGGATGAAGGGACACACAGAGCCCTTGGCATGAGGGATGGGGTGCGGGAGTTGCAGGTGGTGGTCCCTGAGATAGAGGTGGATGGGAGGGTAGCACACAGGGAGCTTATGGGGGCGATGGAGGAACACAAGGAACCCCTGGTTTGTGCAGTGAGCTCGGCTTACACAAGCTGCAACGTGTGTGTACTCCTCTGATAATAGTGCTGAAAAAAATAGTATCAGAAGGGAAATAAAACATCACGTTACCACAAACTGTAACTAATCGGGATTAGGATGAGGTCTTCATGGAGGATACATTATCCCATATCTACCTACTGTGGGGCTTTTTGTGGCTTCCCTCGAAGCGTCTGGTAATGTTAGAGACAGGATATTGAACTATGGATCTGATCCACTGTTGCAATTCCTATGCTCTTTAAAAGGATTACAGTAATACTTTTCTACTTCTCCCAACTTTATTTGTAGTTGTATGCAGTGAGCATTTTTTAGGATTGGGATTAGGTCCTGTCTCTTTACATTTCCTGTCATGTCTTTGCTTATCCTTTGCCATGGAGAAAGAAACATTTAAAAAGTTTAGGGGGAACTTTTCTAAGGAAGGCATCAGCTCCCATTGACATTCAGTGGAAGTTTGAGCACTTCACTGCTCTTTGTGCCTTTAAAAATTCCCCCATTGTATTTTTGAAGTATTTTCTCTGGGAATAGAAACAAGTGCAGCTTAGTAGCCCCCAAGCCCTATATCTTAGAACTGGAGTCTTCTTCAGAGTTCAGAGCTTTTTCCCTGGTGACACTCAGTGGAAGAGAGGCGTCAGGCTGCTGCCTAAGCTGTCACAGGACTACATTTTCAGTATCACTGAACTCCATCTAGGCTCTGGATATTGTTTCCATAGTAATGAGTGTTCGTCAGAGAGGGGAAAGAGTCCCGGATATACTGCTGGTGTGTCTGCAGGCCCTGGTAACGTTAGATGGGTTTGTTTTTGAGTGGCTGTGTTCTTTCTTCTCAATGAGTCCTGTGTTTGGCAGTTGCTCATCTGCTGTAAGGTTTCTCTAGCGCAGGATGCCATGGAAATCTTTTCCATCATTCCTCTTGTTTAGCATGGATGGGAGGTTTGGGTATGCTGACAATATTCAGCTGTGTGTCTCCTTTTCATCTGTCCCAGACACTGCAGACCTAGCGTCTAGCCAAGATTGTGGCTTGGAGGATTGCTAGTTGGCTAAAGCTCATTCTGGATAGGACAGTAATGACACTAGTAGAATGGGAGAAATGTTGGTAGGAGAGTATAGCGGGAATATCTATTCCCTAGATGGAGGGGCAATACTCACCATACAGGGGTTAGCAAGGTTTGCAGTTGTAGGGGTGCTGCAGAACCTTTAGCTGCTCCTGGATTCCTAGATATTAGGAAAGAGCATGTTTTTCATTGTTGCAAGCAAAGAGATGGTGACCATTCCTCTCTGATGTGGCCCTTGGTACAGTAATCTATTCCTAGTCACCTCCAGATTGGTTATTGCAGTTCACTCTACCCTTGAAAAACAATCAGAAACCCCAACTAGTGCATGCTACACTGTTGTATTATTTTTATTTATTTCCAGATGCAATTCAAAGTATTGACATTTCACCTAGAAAGCCCTGCTTGACTTGGGATCCTGGCTGTCTTAGAGAATGAATCTCCCCATGTGCCGTTTTGCTGGATGGAGAAAGGGCACAGTGAAGTGTCTTTTTCTGTGGAGTTTCCTTTCCCCTTGTTCGCACAGAGCCCAAATTAATTGATTTTCAGGGGATGTTGCAGGTACCCAAGACCAAGCTTGAGAGGGACAGGAAGGCTTGGCTTTCTCTGGTGGCTTAGGGAGGTTCTATGCATATTTTTCAGTTGACATTGTCAATGTATGTTTTAATGCATGTGGTTCCTACTGTAGGTGGGGCTGGTAGGGCCCTCTATTAATTATTAAAGTTGCCTGACATTTCCTGTTATAGGACCCTATTTTTAGTTGCTTGTAAAATTGCCAAACTTCAACTATTTGGGCTGAAATTTTCCATGCTCTGGACTGCTGCAGGCCAGGCCGGGTCCAAGTCCTGGCACCTGAACTGACAGCAGGGAGCTGTCTCTCCTGTGCTCTCAATGACCACCCCACCCCCCATCCTGAGCCCAGGCAACGTTGTTGAAGAAGCTGCCTGATTCAAATGCAGAGGGGACAATAACCAGATTTGCAGAGGGTAGAGGAGTTTATTGGGACAAGGAGCCTGGCGGGGAGATTGGGACTGAACGCTAGCAGTGGAGGTGAGAGAAACTGGGACTGGGAGTTGGGGTAGGAGAAGACTGAAACTGGCTGGGCAGGGAGACTAGGACTAGGAGCCAGGTGGGAAATTGGGACTGGGAACAGGGGGAGACTGGGACAAGGAGCTGGGGGTGGACACCAAGATTGGATGGGGGGGGGGCAAGGGACTGGAAGTCAGGGTGAGGGAGAGAGGATGAAGAGCCAGCAAGGAGGGAGCAGGGACTGATTGGGCAAGGAGACTGGGAACAAGGGGCTGGGATATTGGTGGGTGGAACTGGAATGGTTGTGATGGGAGACTGGGGGTGGGGAACAGACTGGGACTGAGAATCTGGAGGAGTGAGACTGGGACTTGGACGAGAAGCTCAAAGAGCGGAGACTGGGACTGGCGAGGTGAGGAGAATGGGACTGGGATGAGAATCCATGGGTGAGGAAGAGATAGGATTGGGACATGTTGGAGGGGATGGGGCAGAAGGAATCACACTTGGGAGAAATGTGCAGAAAAGTCTGTGCCTGCTAGAGAACACTCCTATCTAGAGCTTGGAATAGATCCCAAGATTTCTGAGTTTCACAACTCCTCAGAAAATATTCATGAAATCTGCTGGTAAAGTGTCTCACCCCCCTCCATATAAACAATGACAACCTACTATAGTATCTGTTACTCTGTTAGCTCAAGTGGCAGGGGCCTGTGTGGTAGATCTAAAGGTTCCAAATCTGCTGATGAATCATAGATATGTAGGGCTGGAAGAGATCTCGAGAGGTCATCAAGTCCAGCCCCTTTTGTTGAAGCAGGACCATGTAAACCTAGACC